AATTGACTTCTACTATGTTCAAGCCCATTTTACCTTACCTTCCCACTTGAGCCTTGTGTGCAAGCCCATTTTATGATATGGTTTTAAGCATGTTAGGTCTAAGGAAGTTGGTGCATTTTAAGCGTTAAGTATATGTGTCCTTCCTCAGTCCCAAAGCAGTACAAGAATAGAAAACAATGTATTTCCTCTTTTTTTTTAATGTACTGCAAGTATATATGAGGTTGTCATATATTTCGTGCATTGGATGTTTACTGTGGTTGCATCTTTGTTTAGTAGCATCAGAGCATTGTTCCTTTGACTATGGGCAAACAATCGTGATCTTTACCCATCTTTTTCGCAAATGCAGATCGCCTTACCTTGATCCGGCGGCAGAGGGAGGAAGCTGCAAAGAAGCGCGAAGAGGAAAAAGCTGGTACACCCTCTTTTGCCGCTGCTAGTAACATTGTTTTAGCTTTGCTTCGGCATGTATTTAGTCGACACGTACAAAACTGAAAGCCTGAACAAACCTGTTATGTTAGAATCAAAACATTTACCTGCATCTGCTATTTTCTACACTTGCTTGATTTCTAACCTTGTGCCTCACTGCTTGCAGCGAAAGAGGAGAGGAAGGCTGAAGCACGCAAGTGAGCCAAGCTATGGATGGACCAGACATGATAGATGTGTTTTGTTGCGAGACTCAACGCTGATATTAGCTGAACTTCCTTTTACTGCCTTTATTATTTGCCCGTAGTACTATGCAGTATGACCGAAGAACTGTGTGAATGATGCCTGTAGTAGTATGCACTATGACCGAAGAACTGTGTGAATGATGCCTGTGCTTTCATCCCGTTAGATGTGAATTCTGAACTTGGGGTTGTTGATCTTCAAGTTAGCAAAAGCTTCTGTTGTCCTATAGGATTCATTGATTATTTTTCGTCTGATTACTCTGTACCTTCCCTGTATGCTAATGCATAATCAGAACATCTGCTATTTTCCTGTAAAAAAGTTATTTTTTCGGCTCTGCCACGGTAGGATATCAGTGTAGCTCCCCTTTTCAAAGTTCAAAACCTGAAAACTATAAGGGCAAAAAAGAAAAATCGACTCCGCTGGGGATCGAACCCAGAATCTCTGGTTTCGTAGACCAGCGCCTTATCCATTGGGCCACGGAGTCCTCGACGAATGATATTAAGGACGGTGAATTGGATGAATGACTTTCTGGTGATAACATTTCTGACAAAAAAAAATCGACTCCGCTGGGGATCGAACCCAGAATCTCTGGTTTCGTAGACCAGCGCCTTATCCATTGGGCCACGGAGTCATTGATGGAAGAGCAAAAATTCATCTCTCTGTTCATCAGATTAGGTTAAATGAACCCGCAAAAAAAAAAGATTAGGTTAAATGACAAATTCATGACCTTAGAAAGGTGAACAGTGACACGTGCAAAAAAATAAATAAGTTGACACGTGAGCCACATAAAAATGAAAAAAAGTTGTGATTTTAAAAGGTAAACAGTACACACAAGGTTCACCGCTAAAAAAACACGCATCACCATCAAACTTTGCACCTCTGTACTATACATCTATATTATCATGTTGAAATTCTTTAAACATTTTCTAAAACTTCAAACTATTCAAAATAAAGTGCTCACTGACACCTGTGTTCCAAAGTGACTTTCCTTTTTGCAAAAATAGTTTTTTTCCCTTGATAGCTGCAAGATTTATTAGAGCAAAACCAAACCATATAATATGGTAGAAGGACATACCTAGGCATGGATTCATCATCCTTCCAGTTTCCCGCATTAACTGGACCAATTATCTTGTTCTATATGAATTGCAAAAAAAAACCCACCCTCCAACAAGGTTCTTGCAAAAAGAAGAAGAGAAACTGGAGTGGGATTTAGACAACAGTGATGCCACCACTGCTACTCCTGCTAAAGTTAGTGTTCAGGAAAAGTTCCAAGTTCCATAATTATATTTCTAGGATACTTGGATTTCACTATTACAAGGAGATTATATCTCTGCACATGTCACACACAAGAGTAGTGGCCTACTATCTTAGTACCTCCAAGCACTAGCGGAGCTACCCAAAATTTTTTAGGCGGGCCATAGGGAACAAGGCCAAAGGAAATCACAAAATAATTACTCTCAGAGCCCAGCTTTCCGTCCACTCTTCAGTGTTTTTTCTTGAATAGGGCGGGCCAAGGCATAGTTTTGCCTGCATGTAGCTCCGCCCCTGCCTCCAAGGTTGAGGATCCAGGATGTTTACCCTTAGATGGTGATGATTGGATGAAGCCGTCTGTTGTATACACGCCTTGCTGGATGGAGAGTTCCTTGATAGCAAATATAGTTTAGAAGCCAATACGGGGTTATAACACTTATTGCTTGTAGCAAACTCTTTGTTTATGTTGAATTGTCGTCATGATAAGGTGGACTTCTTTGACTTTCCATACGCAAGCATACTAGAAGATAATCTCTGTTTCTGTGCGGGGCTTTACACGCCCGAAAAGCGCGCAATCTGGCACAATTGGAGGCAGCCCATGCACCAGATCGTGTCTCTGCAGAAGCGGCTCGATGACCTCTAGATAGGTACCGAAGGAATCGATCCCTGATGCTCCTGATCATCACCATACCCATTGATCACTGACGCGGCTACTATCTTGTCAATAGTTTGCATCGCGACCAATGTTGTATGGCCAGAACACATAGTGTTTGGTTCTGGCATAGTGCTCATGGAGTTCTACCATATTCTATTGTAATTGGCTTGTTGCATGAAACAAGATGGCATTTATCTAGAAACAAAGTTTCATTTATTTGGGAATAAATTCCTTTTTTGTTGGAACCAAACATGTAATCGATGGAGTGAATTTGTGTTATGGAAACAAACAACTACTCCCTCCGTCCCATAATATAAAAACGTTTTTGGAACTACACTAGTGTCAAAAACGTTCTTATATTATGGGACAGAGGAAGTACATAGTTGGAAGCAATTTGCTAGTTGATTGAAGCAATATTGTGATGCTCGGACCCCAATAGTCGGGGAACGTCACCTGGGAGGGAGCCTTGAGCGAACTTCCCCCGTTCCCCAGCGGGGAGGATCATGGTGACCCCAATTGGCCCAAAGATCGACAAAATAGTTTTTCTTTCCGGAAGTGCTATGAACAGAAAATAGAAAAAAAATGCCACAAAAGTTGCCATTTTCCTAGTCGGCACCCAATTTTTTTTTTGCAAAAAAGCAGTAAAGAAATGCCAACTCTAAAAAAATGTCATCCTCTTAAATAATAAAAATGCCATCCTCACAATAATAAAAATGTCATCCTCACAATAATAAAAATGCCATGATTTTATAAATAAAACTGTTATCCTCTCATAATAAAAATGTCATCCTCTTAAAAAAATGCCATACTCTTATAATAAAAAATGCAATGTGAAAAGTAAAAAAAATCAGGATTTTTGGACAAATTAACAAACAAAAAGCTACAACAGATGCCAACAAATATATGCAGAGATGCCAGAAAATATATCTTCTAGTACCACTAATCTCTAAAACATATATGCAGCGGCAAATCAAACAGTTTAGAACGTTTTCGAACATTTTCTTGAAAATGTGATTTAAAAAAATTCAGAACAGTTTCAGAAAAATGCGAACAAATTCTGAAATTCCAAAAAGTTTTTGAAGATGAGAACAATTTTTCAAATTTGTGATTTATTTTTGAAATTCCGAACAAATTTTGAAAACCACGAACATTTTCTGAAACTCCCAAACATTTTTTGAATTTGTGAACAAAATTTGAAAAACAGGAACATTTTTTGAAGTTCAGAAAAAAATTGAAACCACGGACATTTTTTGAATTTGTGAACAAATTTTGGAAAATGGGAACATTTTTTGAATTTGTGAACAAAATTTGAAAAACAGAAACATTTTTTGAAACTCAGAACAATTCTTTTTAAACCGCAAACATTTTTTGATAAACTAACATTTTTCGAATTTATGAAAAAAATTTGAAAACCAGGGACATTTTTTGAAATTCTGAATAATATTTAAATTTCCAAAAAAATTGAAAAAGAAAAAAGGAAAACAAAAAGGGAAAGATGGAAAACAAAAAACAAAAAAGAAGAGAAATAGAAAAATGAAAAAGAAAAGGCCGGTTCAGGAACCTTCTAGAAGATTCCAGAAACCGGAAAAACCGTTTGGAAAACTCTAGAAGGTTCCCAAAACCGGAAACACTGCAAACAGGTTAAATGGGCCGGCCCATGACATCGCTCGATCGGCAGGTCTGTGCGAAAGGGCGACACTTTGACGCAACGAGCGTCCAATAGGAAATTCCCAACGGTTGGCCTTCCAGGGAACCTCAGCAACATTTTCATGCTCATAATTATAATATGCAGTTTACTGGACACTTTTGTACGGGTAGGTCAAAGCAAATTTGAATCAACATGGAAGAAAAATTATCCAGAAGTGGAAATAAATTTCTTTTTTTCACCGGATCCAGAGGTGGAAGTAAACAATTACAGTACTAGTACAACAAAACCAGACGTGGTCCTTTCCAGATCGAATCAAAGCTGTCCGATCTCCCGTGCTTTCCCCAAAACCAGTCCGTACTCCGATTTGATTCCTCAGTCCATGGCCAAATCCAATACGTGATCCAACGCCCTAAGGTCTTGCAATGCGGAGGTCGCCGGCTGAAGAAGAGTTTTTGTTCAGAGTGGCCCGGTGCCTGGATTGCTTTCTTCAGCTTCTTCGCCGGCCGGAATGACGCGATCGTCAAGACCAAATCACGGGGTCGGACTGGATGAGCCTGGATTAGGCAAATCTGGAATAGTTCTGCTGCTACCTTTGGTTGGAGAGCATTGGCACTTTGGTGGCTTTCACGGGGTCGGACTCGGACTTGAACAAATCCGGGTGTGAAACTGGAACAAACTCTAACCTACCATTGGCCTTGGGCCCTGGCTATATATATCTTCCCTTGTTGGTAGCCGAGGTAGAAGCAAAGCATCGACTATCGAGACCCCTACCTACCTGTCATGGATCCGGCGGGTCTGCTACCCGGCGACGTGCTCGCGGACGTCCTCCGGCGCCTGATGCCGCGCAGCCTCGCCGCCTGCCGCTCCGTCTGCAAGGAGTGGTGCGCCGCCGTCGACGCCCACGGCCTGCTGCGCAAGGACCTCCTGCCGCTCTCCCTGGCCGGCATCTTCGCCGTCTACAACTTCGTTGACGGCTATCACCTTCCCCCGGCGTTCCTCTCGCGCCCCTCTGTCGCGGGCAAGATCCAAGGTAACCTCAGCTACCTCGACGACGTCCACGATGAGTGGTCCCACATTATGGGTCACTGCAACGGCCTCCTCCTCCTCTGGGGAGGCGTGGCCAATCCGGCCACGCGGCAGTGGGCGTGTTTACCGCGTCATCCTGATCGGACAGCGACCAAAGGCTTCATCAAACGCGACTTCCTCGCGTACGATCCTATGGTCTCGCCACACTTTGAGGTGTTCTTCATGCAGTGTGTTCGCCGCCGGTCCAAGAACGAGGTCGCATTGGACCTTGCAAACCCAAACTCAGAGTGGCCCCCATCGCCCTACACCATGAGCGCATTCTCGTCAGAGACATGGCTGTGGGAGGAGAGATCTTTTATTAGAGAAGGGATGGCTCCACGGTCCATCGACCCCAAGCTACTACCACTCATGAAAAACGTGTTGTTCCCTCGTGATGCTGTGTATTGGCGGGGCCGGCTCTATGTGTACAACATATTTTTTGTTATCAGGTATATATGTTTTGTTTCCCTATTTTTCTTAGCAAAGGCCACCCAATACTAAGGTGACTAGCTAGCTAATGTTGTACAGTAATAACGAATTTATTTGTTTGTGCAGATTGGATTTAGGGGATAATAAGTACCGAGTAATTGAACTCCCCCCGATTAGTGAAGCACGCGGAGATATTATGCCTCATTTGGGAAAATCCGGGAATGGCGTTTACTATGGATTCGTCGGTGATTGCTGCAAACTTCAGATTTGGTTTCTTAATGAATCAATTGATCACACCGAATGGATGTTGAAGCATGAGATTGGCCTCAAGCCGTTGCTAGAAAATTTTCCTTGGGAACACAGTCATGGCTCTTGGTTCGTGCAAGGTTTGAGGGATAACAATGATGAAACACTTGACAGAGAGAAACTGGAATGGGATTCAGACAACGATGATGCCACTACTGCTTCTGCCACTGAAGTTAGTGTTCAGAAAAAGTTCCATAAATACATTTCAAGGATACTTGGATTTCATCCTTACAAGGAGATTATCTTTTTGCACATATCGGATACAAGAGTAGTGGCCTACCATCTTAAGAACTCCAAGGTTGAGGATTTGGGGTGCTTACCCGTAGATGGTGATGATTGGATACAATCGTCCTGTGTATACACGCCTTGCTGGATAGAGAGCTGCTTGAGAGCAAATAATGTAGAACCCAATAGTGAGCTCTAGAATGTATTGCTTGAAACAAGTTATCTATTTACGTTGAATTGTCACCGTCCATTTACGTTGGACTGCTTTAACTTTCCACATGGGCGCATATTAAAAGATAATTTCTACGAGTGGCTACTTCTAATGAGTCATACTAGCAAAAGGGCCCGTGCGTTGCAACGAGAGAGAAAATAGGTGTGTTCATCAAAACATCTGTCACATGGTAAGATAGCATGGAACGGAGCCACCAGAGGGAGCCTCACGCGGAGGTGTAGAAGAAATGTATATCAGCTGCGCATTAATCACAAAACCAGCCTTAGCAACGATGCAAAGAAAGCTTACTTCTCCAAAATGTTGAAATCTACGCTTAATTTTTTTAGGGGACAAATCTACCGATTGACCTTGCAACGATATGCTTTTGACTTTACATTGATGCCAGTCATCCTTGTAGCGTTCATGTGGTCGGCTTTGCAACATCGTCCTCTAACTTGAAATACCATCGACCATACTTGCAGCATATGCATAGTCGGTTGCACCATGGCATTCCAACTTTTCCAGTAAAAAAGAATAGTGGCAACTGGTGTTGCATTGGCATGCTTATGCTAGATGCATAGAGTGTTTGCTCTTGGAACGCCGCGCCCTGCTTGCAGCAGCAACAGCCAGGCTTCTAGTGTCGTGTATTCCGATTGCATCAATGATGTACGATCAATCAGAATTTTTTTAAAATAAAATGTAATATTTTTATATGCATGATCAACATTTTTTAAAATACTTTTTTAACATTTTTATATACATGATCAACATTTTTTTTAAAATACTTGTTTAATATTTTTATATACATGATCAACGGTTTTTTAAAATACTTCTTTAACATTTCTCAAATACCTACTCAACATTTTTTAAATATTTTTTCAATATTTTTTAAATACTTGTTCAACATTTTTTTTCAAATGCTTGACTAACATTTTTATATGCATGATCAACATTTTTTTAAATACTTCTTCAACATTTTTCAAATACTCATTCCAAAGATAAATGGGTGCATGCACCTGTCGACCTAGAGGAAACGGACTGGGAGCCAATCGGCCAGCAGTGGGTCGACTGGATCCAATCAGCGTACAGTGGGCCAACTGGGGTCCAATCGGCCAGCAGCAGGCCGACTGGATCCAATCGGCCAACAGTAGGCCGGCAGGATATTATTTTTAAAAAATATAATTACGGCGTAATATTTCTGAAATTTAATAAAAAAGATGTATTATTTTTTAAAAAATGGCGTAGTTTATACAGTACTCACAATTTCTCACACTTCCAGCGAATTAAACTGATGATTAGATGTGCCTTCTCTCCTTCGTACATTGTTTGGGGGTTTGGTCTGAGAAGGGGGTTGCAGCACTCATGATTTTGCTTGTTTCGGGGATGGAATGAATTGGGCATCAGCATCTAACAGAGAGAGAGAGGGAGGGAGGGAGGGAGGGAGGGAGGATTCTGTTTATTACGTCAACCATGTAGTAGAAACCAGATAGAACTAAACAGCTAGGGTTTTGGTTGACTTGGTAGCTGAATCATGGTCCATGAATTTGTGTAAAACGACAAGTGCGCTACTGAACTAAAATTCTACCTGTTCATTCCACTGCCCAGTTACCATCTGAAAGGTTCTATTTTGCCACCGCAACTTTAATTAGATTGTTATAGTTCAGACTAAGGGGATCAAAATTAGTCATCTGTTAGCTATGTACTGTGGACCTCAACACTAGCTGAGTAGCTACGTAGCTAATCATTGATCTTGTCTTGGGTGAAAGGCTGGCGTTTGTTAATTCAGATACTAAAAGGTAACCGACACTGACTTTATTTGTTTACTTTCCTTCTGAACTCTTATTTGCTTAGCTTCTATTGATGATATTTCTAATCTTTTATCTTCGTCGGTAAACTCAACTGCATCTCAGTTTTCTGTTCCCATTTCCTGGATTGCGGGTCCTGATGCGCAAGATTCTTCTGTTTGCTACAGCGCACGCAGGCCTGGACGATGGCAAGCATTGATGTGCGCACGTCGTTGCAACAGCCACATCTCAACCATCCCGACGCACGCAATAATCAGAGGTGCCAAAATGATTTGGTGTTTGCAAGGGTCGCTTTTGTTGCATTTTCTACATGAGAAACCATCTCAGGCTGTAAGTTTGCACAGCCTGGACACTTCACTTGCATACCTTGTTAGTTACTGATTGGACTATACGTAATTATGTTCACTTATATATAACAAGAGTTACTTTACCCAACTCCCAAGGAAATTGATAAAAGAAAAACATGTCTGCATACTAAATGTTCTTGCAAATCTTGTTCTCAGATTGTCAATTGAAGGCGACAACAAGATATTCTCATGTTCTTTTAGAATGTTTATTTGGGGATTAAAATCTTGATAATTAGATGTACTGCTTCGCTTCATATGTAATTTCCCTCATGCCTTCTAATCCGTTCAGATGACTAGCTATTATCCACATTAGGTTTTGAAATGCCTATGCTCTATCTAATTGGTCGTTCAATTAGTCAAATAGCCGTTTCATTTTTATTATGCTGACACAAGATCTGTCTCTGTTCTAAGATTTAGTTTCTGGTCACTTTTTGTGAGGTTTTTCATCAAAGATTCTCTTTAAACTCCTATTTTATACCTTTCTTTATGGTTCTTTGCATGGAAGTACTCTATTTTCTTGCTTATATTATTCTTCTGCTATCATACAGATTTGGATGCACCTGCACAGTACTGATAGTACATGAAATTCATCAACCTGCTGTTGCCGCAAGCAACCAAAATCTGCTCTAACAGAGTGATGAATACAATATTCATGCTAAGCTTTCTTCAAATTATGCTAATTGATCTTAAAAAGCTGGCTACTGGTGTTATTTGCTGCAATTTATTTCTGACAGTCAGGTAGTCTTGGAATGCTTTCGTGATGCAATTTATTTCTGACAGACAAGCTATGCTAATTGATCTTGAAAAGCTGGCTACTGGTGTTATCTGCTTTGTGGAAGGCTGTTAGCATTAAAATTTAGTGCTCGGCTGTTCATCATAGTCTCATTCCCTAGATAATTAATGAGGCATGAAAAATAGGTGAAATTGCAGGAAAATTGAAGATGGGAACACGATTCATTTTGTTAATGAGAACATCTACTGTTACAGATACACTTTCTGTATTCTACCTATCGATGGCGTAATGTTTGAATATTAAGTCATTTCTTTTTGTCATTAGCAGGTGCTTTTATTTATGTTCATATTCCACGTATGCATGTGCTGCTCCGGTGATGTTTTATTAGTTGATTGGCATATATGGATCTCTCCATGTTTATTAGTTGATCTCCAACCCCTACTTTGCTGTGGTGCTATGGGAGCAAGAAGAGCATGCATGCTTTCTCTCTACATCTAGGGTCCATATGGCCAGATTGACGGGCCTAAACTCTGGGTGAGCTCCTCCATGACCCGATCGATTTCTTACCTTGCTGGTTGTGTCATATGGCTATTAGCATTTGATTGATAAATATTTCAGTTTTACTGGATGATCTTGCTTTACCCATCTGCACCTTGAGTTGATCTGTTCTTTCATGTTTACTTACTTTTGCTACTATTCTTGTGCAACTCAAAGGTTTCTTTCAAGAATCATGAGAGAACATTCAAGGAGTGGATTATTTGGAAATTAGAACCTTCAGATTTCTTAGAAGTGAGGTTACTTTCCAACTAGAATTATAGGCAAGCATTGGTCTTTAATTTGGAAGTGATTATCATGTCTAAGAAGGGAGATCAACCCGGTTTGGTGTACATGATGTATGATCCCTTTTTTATTGATTTCTTATACTATGTTGACATGACTTATTTCACTCAATTTTCTGGTTTTTTTACACCATACTTCATGCGGTAGCCATACAAGATCATTTATTATACCATTGTACTAGCATATTACAAAATCATTATGCTAGATATAGATGGATTAACATGAAGATAATTTCTTTTGTTCTGTTTTTTCACTAGACATAGATGCTATTTATGCTTCTTTAGCAGTGACATCATAGTCAACTTGCATTTTCTGTCTTTTAGCTACACTACCAAATCCAGCAACTTTGATTTGTTCGTACCATTAGGCTGTAAGGAAATATTACTATATGTAACATGTTTTTTTCTTAAGCTACTGTTGTTGCTTCTCATGTCCGAAATATATTTCTTGATGCAGCTTCACTCAGATTTATGTGAATATAAGCGTAAGAGGTCTAGTGGCAATGCTACAAAATCATTGCAGGCGTGAGTATCCAGATTGCACTACTGCTGGCCGTTTCTTGCCATTGCCTACAACAGGCTTCTGACAAAGCCAAGTCATGGCCTCATTAGGCCCCTTTTTTCAGCCAAACTGAAAGCACTTCATGTTAGCTTGTATTCGCTTTTGGATTAACTACAATGCATTGTACCCATCCATGCTCCAGGGTGAGTCGTACATTTTTTTTACATATCCTCGTTAGATGTACCAACGCCTATGATGGTTCTGAACTCTAATAATATAGTATCATATGTTTCGATGTTCTACAATTAGATCATAATGTTATAGCATATGCCCATATTGATGTACATGAGTTAGACTAAACATGGCAGCCGAATGTGCCGAGACAAGATAAATGCGCACAGGCCTTCTTGTAAAAGTTTTATACACTTTTCAAGAAAACGAACTTTGGTTAATCATTAAGCTATAACTTTTCTCATATTTGAACAAGGTTATTTGAGTTCTGCTAAAAATGTGGCAATGTTAAAAAAACGGTTATTTTTTGTAACTTTTGCAAACTTTGTGGAAAGAAGCTGCAAATAACTGATTTCGCTGTCAAGTCTACAGTCCAATGTTAATCTAGAGGGTGGAATCTTTAAACTTCGTTGATGCTTTCTTGTCCGTTTTGATCTAATATCTGTCTGATGTGGTTTGTATAAAACTTGTGGTAGTATAATTAGTTTTGCTTTTTCTTGTCAGGATATAATAACATTGTAGATAGACGGA